CTGACTGAAGTCGAGTTCTTTACATTTTGTCTGAAGAACTTCCCAGAGGGCTTTATGTTCTTGTTTGAGATTCTCAAAGTGGTTTTTTTGTTCATCAAAATCTGCTGCAAGTTGAATGTGCTCTTCCTTTTCTTTCTGCAACTTTTTAATATCTTGTTTCTTGACCAAAAGCTCCCTCTCTAAGGCTTCTTTTTCTTTTTTTAATTGATTCATGACATTAATGTCATTGTTGGGGTCCAGACACGTCTTCCTGTCCCCAGCACTTAAATCGGGCTGTTCTGAACTGGAATTTTTCAATAATTCTTCTTCCTTCTTAATTTCAGACTTCACCTTTTCAAAAGCTAAGAGCAGCTGAGAACGTTCCTCTTCATATGCACTTGCTTTTTCATCAAGCATAGACTGCATATGAGCAAGCATGCGATCCTTTTCCTTTAAAGATTTTAGGTTCTGCTCACATATATTTTGTTTTTCAGCAATGACATCATTTAGTTCTGCAATATTGTCCTGAAGTTGTTCTAAGTAAGAGCCTTTTGCAGACAATATTTCAGTCAAATCACTTATTTTGGCATCTTTTTCTAAAAGTTGTTGCTTCAAAGTTTCAAGATGAGACTCCGAATCTTTATTTTGTACTTCAACTAGTTTCAGCTTGTCTGTTAACTCATTAACTTTCTTCAACAACTCCTCTGCTTTTTTTTGCTCTTTTTCTATTTCCTCCTGTCCACTCTTTTCTAGTTTTCCAACTTTTTGCATTAGATCTCTTCTTATTATCAATGCTGCTTGAAGTTTCTTTTTCAGATTCTCTTTTTCCTTGCCCATTTTCTCAAGATTAAACTGCATCTCCTCTTTTTCATTCATTAAATCTTTAAACACAGCTTCTCTACTGCTTAACGTAACCTGACTATGTTCCAGTTCTTTCTTACAATCCTCAAGTTCCTGCAAAACTCGGTTTAGCTCTCCTACAGAACTACTATGAAGAGCTTCAAGGTCGTGCAGTTTGGTATTTAATGTATTTCTCTCTTCAGAAAAAATCAGCATTTCATTAGACAATGATTCCATGATCTGGGTAACAGAAGAGTCCTTTTCTTTCAGTTGCTGGCTTAGACCAGAAATTAAATCCTTCTGCTGATTTACCTGGGAAGTTAAGTTTTCAATGAGTTCATCTTTTTTCCCCATTTCTTCAAGGAGACTTGCTACTTTTTTACCTTCAGTGTGCAGTTTTTCTTGAGTGGTTCTTACTATTTCTTCTGATTTATTTATCTTGTCTTGAAGAAATTCAACCTGCTTATTTATTTCTGCAAAAGACTCTTCCCTTTCTTGCAACAGAGACTGCTGTTGACATAATCTTTCCTTGACTGTGGCCATTTCTTCTGACAGACATTCAATTTCAGATTTGTATTTGCCCTTCATCTTTTCAATATCATTCTGCAGCAACTCCTTCTGCTTCTCAAGTGACTGCATACTTTTTAATTCATCTTTCATGGTGTCTATTTCCTTCTGTTTTTCTAAAAGCACCAGCTGCAATTGTTCTCCTTCTGTTTCTTTGCTCAAAATAGTGGTTATCAGAGTGGAGAATTTTTCCAACTGAATTTTACTATCAGTTAGCTGCAGTTCAGAATCTGAAGTTTGTGCCACCTTTTCTTTACGCGAAAGCCTACTACTAAGTAACAGAGACAAGCTTTGAGTTAATTCCTCTTTTATAAGATCCAGCTCTTGTTGCAAAGACTGGATTTTGCTATCCTTTGATTTCATTTCACTTTCTAAACTGCTCAATTGTTCAGTAAGATTACCATTTTGTAAAGTTGCCCTATCAAGTTCTGTCACCCACTTGTTTTCTGACTCAAGTAGATTTTGTTCTAAAGTTCCAAATTTAAGTTCTAATTTAGAAAGTTCTTCACCTTTCACACTAACCTGCATCTGTAACTTCTCTTTTTCAGTCTTCATCTGCAGTTTGACAGCATCTATCTGCATTCTTGAATAATTCTCACTGGTTTCTAGTTTTTCATTGATTTCTTGGAGCTCTTCCAATTGCTTTTGCAAACGATTTTGAGATGTCGTAAGTTGTGCGTTTTCAGCCATCAGTTTATTAGCATCTTCCTGCAACCGATTTTTTTCTTTCTCTAAAGACTCTACCTGGCACTGCAGACTACCTATTAAAAGCGCATTGTCATGGCAGTCTTGAGATGATTTGGAATTTACATTGTTCAACTCGAACTTCAAATGTGCTATGTTATCTGCCTGCTCAGTGCACTTCACACGCAGAGACTCCATGGCCAATTCTTTTTGCTGTAGCAGTTCTTCCCATGTGCTTATTTGATCTAGTGCTTTTTGGTGTTCATTTTTAAGACAGTCAAGTTCAATTGTCAAACAACCAATTTTCTTCTGATTAATATCAAGCTTCTCGTTCTTTTCCTGAAATTCCTTAGTAAGGTTTTTCATGGCTGTATCACTTTTCTCTAATTTTTCTCTGAGAACCTCAATCTCACTAGAAAGAACATTAACGTTGCTATCTGCCAGCTGTATACTGGTATCTTTCTCCTTTAAAGAATTAAGCAGTCCAGCAATAACTTCTTCTTTTTTCCCAAGAGCCACATTCAGCTCAGTTCTTAATTCATACTGTGTTTCAATTTTCTCCTGAAGAGATAAAAAGGCATTTTCTCTCTCATGGACTAGTTCTTTAGATTGCTGTAGTTCTTGTGTTAGTTCATGTAACTGACTTCTGAGCTGAGAAATTAAATTTGTCTTCTCTTCATCTCTCCTTGCTTTCTCCTTCAGAGTTTTGAGGAGACTTTTATTTTCCATAAGAGATGACTCCTTTTCCGATAAGGACTGGTCCATCTCAATTATTACACCCTTCTGATGTTGTATTTCTTTTTGTAAATTTACTTTCACTTCCTCCAGCTCTACCACCTGTTTCTTTAACACCTCACATTCATTCTCTTTCTCTTGAAGTTGCGTCTTTAAATTCTCACCAGATAATGAAATATTGTTGATGGTTAATTCTTTTTCTGAAACAAGTACTTTTAATTGTTCTGCTTCAGAGGCTAAAAGCTCCAACTGTTTCTGCTGCAAAAGAGCAGATTCCTGTACCTCAGAAAGCTGTGCTTTTAAGCTCATGTATTCATCTAATTTTTGTTTTAAAGATTCATCCTTCTGTATAATTGAATCATTCAACTGGGAAGATTTTTCTGTCACATTTCTAAGCTGATATTGAAGGTCAGAAATAACCTCCATATTCTCAGACAGTTGAACCCTAAGTACATCAGACTCTTCAGATTTGTCTTTTAATAACTTTAATTCTTGGGCTTGCCTCTTAAATTCATTTTCTTTTTCCTGCACTGTGTGTCTAAGCTGTCTGGTTTCAAAACCTAGGGCTTGTATTTGGTTTTGCAGATCTGAAATTATTTGCATATTTTGCCCTTCTGCCACTTTACTATCTTTTACTTTCTGAATCAAAGCTTCCTTTTCAGAAAGGAGAGTTTCTTTTTCTTCGAAGACAATTTTTAAGTTTTCTTTTTCAATCAAGAGGCCATCAATTTGGTCCTTCAGAGCTAAAATATTATGACTTTGTTGGGACAAGTGTGAAGTTAAAGCAGCTACTTCGTCTGACTTTTTCATTACCATAACATTAGCTGTTTCAACGTCTACTTTCAACTTCTCATTTTCTAGAGCTGCTGTATGTGCTTGTTGTCTTGCTGAAGTAATTTCAGACTGTTGCTGTGCCAACTGTGACTGAAGAACTTCACATTCACGTGACTTCTCGCTCAATAAGCTTGAAAAGTTCTCCTTCTCATGCTTAAGCACATCCATTTCTTTGCTTAGTAGCTGCAGCTGATTATTTAACACTGTACTTTCTTCCATTTTTTCAGAAACCTGCCTATGAAATTTCTCAAGTTCTGAACCCTGACTTTTTAGAGTCAGGTCTCTTTCCTCTACCAACTGCAATAACTTTGTTTTTTCATCTTTAAGGTTTTTAATTTCATCCCGCAACTCTACAATACAAAACTTACTCTCTTCCACTGCCTTAAGTAATGAATCATTTTGAAGGACTTTCTCTTCTAGTGACCTGTTCACAGCTTCAAAATCCAAAGTTAAGCTTTGAATTTTTTCCTGCAGCAGTAAATTCTTTTCCTTGCTATGGCTGAGCTCTTGGATTAGGCTACTGCATTCAGATAACTTATTATTTAACATTTCTTCTTTATTTATTTCTTTGTCTCTAGTATCCTTCAGCTGAATGAGAAGTGACTGCATTTGCTCATGCAATTGTTGTGTCTGTTCCTTGCTTTCAAACAACTGATCAGCTAGCACATTACATTCCTTTGTTTTCTCCTGCAGCTGTTCTGCAACGGAATTTTCTTTTTGCTCGGCAAGTATTGAAAGTTGTTGAATCTCTTTTGCCAGAGTGTTTTTATCACAATTTAGTACTGAAAGAGTTTTTTCATACTCAGCAGTGCTAACAGATAACTTATTCTCTACTTCTGTCACAGCCTGGATTTTCTTTGACAACTCACACTGTTTTACATCCAGGAGTTTGGACAAATTTTCATTTTCACCGATTAGCTGTTCCTTCTCTTTTTCCACCATATCTATACTTTTTTTCAGATATTCATTTGCTTTTATTTGCTCCACCAATTTTTCTTCTTTCCCTTCAAGATCTGCGCGCAATTGCTTATTAGCTGAAGCTTTCTCCTGTACCTCTATTTCCATCTTGTTGATTTGTTTATGTATTTCATTTAATTGGTTATTAAGTTCTCTGCAACATGTCTCTTTGGCTTTCAGATCTCCCGTTAATTTAAGTTTAGTCTCTTCATTTTGCTGCTCCAAAACCCCAAGCTTCTGCTCTAATGAAATAATGAACTCTTGTTTCTCCTGTAATTCTTTTTTAATTGTTTCTTGATGTTCAGTATGTTCTATAAGCTTCCTAGATAACTCAGCCAATTCTTCAACTTTTTTAGTATCTTCCGAAACTAGTTTGTTGTATGAATCTTTAATTGATTTTAATTCATTTTCAAGTGTCTCTGCTTTACTCTCTTTCTCTTTAAGCAAACTGTTACATTTTTCCATTAGAGTATTGTTTTCCTCAAGTTGAGATGTCAAATACTCAGTTTCTTTTCTTTGTTTATCCTGGGTTTCTTGTAACTTTTCAGATGCTTTACTAATTTGTTCTTTCAGCAAAGTAATTTGTGACTCACACTCCGCAAGTTTGTTATGGTATGCAACATTGTTGGCTTTGATTTCAGAATGGAGATGCTTAATTGTAATGCTGTTCTCACTGCTTTGTCTTACTAATTCCTCATTTTCTTTGGTTTTAGCTTCATTCTCAACTTTAACTCTTTCTAGCTCTAGTCTGATTGTATTATTTTGCTCGGAAAGGACAGAGATCTTCATGCTTGCATCTCTTACATCAGCTGTTTGTACTTCTTTCAGTAAATGAGCTTCCCTTTCAGCCTTTGATAAAGCCTCTTCCATCCCCCGTATTTCTTCCTCTTTGCATTGCACTTGATGTTTCAGGATGATAACCTGTTCAGAATATTCCGTCATATTCAAAGACAGGACAGACATCTCCCTGTCTTTTTCTGCCAGTGCTTCTTTAAGATTATCAATTTCTCTTTCACGTTTCTGGAGATCTTGAATAAGTTGAGATCTTTCATCTAAATGGCTTGTATTCAATTTGTCAAGCTCTTCATTAGTCTGGTCCAGATCCAGCTGCATCGATTCTATCACGCCATCTTGTTTCAAAGTCTAAACATCAAGAAAATAATGTTACAATACTACTTCAAACATATGTTAGAGGGAGAACGGAAGTTACAATCCACATGCAGAACGAGTATCAAAGGTAATCAATCTGTACCCAACTGTATAGTCACAAGATAAGCATGTTATTCTTTAGATTGTTTTAGCATAGAGAAAGTTTAGTGTATGAAATTTTCAGCAGCTAATGTTGTTATTTTGCTGACATTTAAATGGGCCATGTCAAAAGAACATAAAATTTCTTCCCTTACTTTATCTTAATGAGTTACCTTTTCCTTCAGTGTAGCAACTTTTTCTGTTAGATCACTGATGACTGTTTTCTGCTCAGTGTTCTCCACTTCATAAACACTGCATTTCTTTAAGGCTTCCTTCAGCTTAGTATTAAAAATAAAAGTCAATGTGACAGAAATATATAGAATTATATTAAAATTGTGATGTTAGAGTTATAATATTGAGTTTACATAACAGTGGACTTTATACTTTGACATTAATAAACAAGGATAACTTATCACCCCGATAAAACATACTTCAATGCAAAGCTCTGTGTTGGGGGTAACAAATCCTTACACCCAACATAAAGCAAAGCAATTACATGAAGTGAACAAAACTGCAAAGACACAGACTAAAACCTTCAGATATGGAAAACAATAACACTGCTCCTGGGACACAAATAGAAAGTTATGGCTTAATGCTCACCGGTTCTAATAAATTAAATACCATTTAACAGTAATTTTAACTTACTTTTTGCTCAGTATGCACAAACTTTTCACCAAGCTCTTTGTTCAGAAGATCCTTTTCTTGAAGCAGTTTCCTCAAACTTTCCATTTGTTCTAGTCTTTCTGTCATGCTCAACAGTTTTTGTTCTTTTTCTCCAAGTGATGTTTCAAGGAAGCTATTTCTGTCACTTAATCTAAGAAGAAAACACGTATTTAGATATTTTGAAAACCCAGCTTGCTTTAAGCTTTCTAGACTTACTAGCTCCAAACTATATTCCTAAAAGATTAATTATTTTCACACTTTGAGAATACTTCTCATTAGAAGTTCAAGCTTAAAGCAAAGAAAGCTAATCCTGTACGGAGTTGTAAAGAGCCTTTATTTTACCCTTTAAGCTGCTCATTCAAGCCAGAGATCAGAATTTGATGCTTTTCTACATCTCGCATTTGTTGGTTGCGTAACTGGGTGAGTTGAGTTTGCAAACGTTCATTTTCATTCTGCAACAAAATAACAATGACTAGGATTATCACATACAAACATGCAGAATAGCAAAAGATAACTGGAGTCATAAAAATCTGACTCTTCAGGATATTTACATCCTGAACGTTTACAGGGTACAGACCATTATTCTAGCACTTTAGCAGATACCAGTGCAAAACACAACACTAATATCACAAGTTTACGTGTGGTATTAGTTCACATAGATGCAACCCACCTTTCAGAAATATCTCCTTCAGCAATGCTGTGACAGCATGAACTCAAGGATGATCGCTGTATACCCAAAACAACACACACACTCATACTGTGTTAAGGCAGCTTACTTATCTTAACAGGGGAAGCTACTGCTTTGAAAAAATACTTTGCTCATTGGTTTAAAGACAGTACTAAATTTGAAATTTTTTTTTACCTATTTTTTCCACATTGAAGGAATGCAAAAAGCTGCATGTGGGGGATTGTGGAGAAAAGAAAAAGGAAGCAAGCTTCATTCACACAGCTTTTTTTTTTTTTTTTTTTAAACACAGTACAAATCCCCTACTCTAGCCAGAACCACTGCACCAACTCAAAAATTAAAACCACCAAAGAAACAAAAAAGACAACAGCAACCAAAAACCAAAAGCAGAACACATATTCAGAATCAACAGCAAATAGGACAAACATGGCAAACTTGTCACCTCTAATGGAAATAAGCTAGCATTCTGGAGGAGGCAGAACACACCTGTACCGCCCTCAATAGCTGCCCTTCTTCATCTACACCAAACGTTACCTGTATTGAAAGGCTTTGTTACAAGAATCTCAAGTAATAATTAATATAAGGTTGTCTTTCATCTTAAAATCATTCATTTTTTATCTATGTGCAACTTAACAGGTAAAGAACTATGAATAGTGCACCAAGTCTGAAGGAGTTTGACTAAGAGATCAGTTGTGTCGTTTAGTGAAAAGAAGGTCTGCAAATTATCAAAAATAGTAACTTGTCAATCATGAAATATTAAAAAATCTTTTCTGATAAATATTTACTTTACTGTTTTGATGCCTTCATTGAATAATTTTACAATATAAATATACATCAAATTAATATCTGCTGTTTAGATTGTGCATATATTAAGTAAATATTAAATTATTAATTATTTTTAATATAGTCACACCATTTTTTTATATATATATATATATATATACACACACACACACATTTATAGAAAAGAAACTTGAAAGATATAAGAAGAGGAAGACCTATGCCAGTAGTAACAAAATCTAATTCTGGACCTTCTGACAAAGGCCCCCTAAAAAGAATAAAGAAAATCATGTTGCTTTTTATGTGTTTCTAAAACAAATAACAAAGCTTACTTTCAAGCAAGTTTCTCTGTGTAATGACTTTACTTTTGCTGAACAGAAGTGACAGACTTCAACTTCAGAGCGTAATACAGTACGTGTACACTCTCTGCCAACATAATTATTAAGTATAAAGCAGGCTTTAGACAGAATTGCTAGCTGCAAATTGACATTTTTGTTCTACTGTAGGCTATGATTGTAAGAATATAAACAGAGAATAAAATGATTCTATTATATCATCAGGTTTTACACAACTACAAAAGCTCACCTGAAGAGCCTCCATTCTGCCTTGAAGCTGCAACCTATCTTCCAAATCCTGACAACGCTCTTCTAGAAAAAGAATTTGTTCCTGCAGTTGATTTCTTTCCAATTCCAACTCTTCAACCACACTCCGTAAACCTACTTAAGTCAAAGAAGAAAAATTATTTCAAGAAAGGCCTACTAAAATTCCTGAAGTCTAAAAACGGTTTCAGCTTTTTATTCACCGTTCTCACCAGTGGTGGGCACAATCAGACCTCAGGCATTTCCACTGGAAATACCTGAGGCCTTGCATTTCCAAAAATTAGATGGCAAAAGTATCCTGAACTGTTGAAAAACCAAAATAAAGTTGCACAGCTCAAGAACTTGGAGAACCTGGCAGAAATATTCTACACAATATGATGGCTTAATCAATAGTGTGGCTCATGTTACTTTAATCACAAGTTAATCATGTACTTGCAGGACCACATCTTAAGCAATTATTAATAAACAAAGTAAACTGGCCAAAATCAAAATTTGCAAGTAAGTCTATTCCATTTTAACAATAAAATATATTTGCAGCCTTTACCACCAATATAAAAACATATGCATTAAAAAAATAAGAATTTGATTTTTAAATTAAAAGCATACAGCAATGGAATGCAGTTTTGCTTTGCAACAAAACTGTTATATAGATTGGGAACACATTCACAGGAACAAGACTCATAACTTAAAAAACACATGATCTTGCAACATAGGCTATTTTATGGGCACCAAGGCTCAACCAGTTCCAGTGTTTGGTCACGTTTATATTCTACTTCTGAACTAGGCAGTTCATCCAGCACGCACATGCTTTAAAATAAAAAGGAAGAAAACGCAAGCCAAAAAAATTGAACAAAGATTAGAATACACCACAAATGGGTTGTTAGTTGAATTTGAAAACAAAAATAGACACAAAATACAGATGCTGTGCATGCTTTAATAAACTGTCTAGTCGCTATCACACCTGCATTAGGTGAAGTGTACTCTGGCCACCAACCTCCCATATTTTCTCCTTCAGCTGAATCAGCGCTATCCAAGGTGACGTTCAGTTCTTGAAAGCATTGTTTTCTATCAAAGTTGTATTCTTCCTACGCACAAAACATGAGAATGAATTTTAAATTAAAGAACAGCAGCAAGGCTAAAATACATACTCGAACAAAGTGCAGTTTCAATTAAAAGTCCTAAAACTCAGCAAGTGATTCAGGTGCCTAAATGTAAGTATATGGGATCACTGTGGACACTAGAGTAACCTGTCCAGCTTCCAGCTATTATTTCCAGAAAAGCCAAGTCTCCCACAGGTTTTGTATGGTATCCACCAGGCCTTTGAAGACACTCTCAGGCATCTGAAATGCCAACGGGTAACTATGTTTGGATACCTTAATTGGTCCCCTGATTTCTACAGTTAATAGGGTTCTCTGAATCTCAGGGTGAAGTATCAGAGTTAACTGAACAAAATTATTCTTCCAATGTTATGTTAACATGACAATGACATCCTAACTCTTCTTACAAAAGATTATCATTGCTTTCGTGCAAGTTACAGCACCAACTACCTAGAAGTACACCTGGATGAACTGACACTACTTACTAATTATTCAGTAAAGCTCCACCAACAAAGAGATCTGTAGAAATTGTATTTAAAATAAAAATGGCCTTAACATATTAAGCATGCACATAGCTTCAAGCATGTGAATTACTCCAGAAGGAAGCTGGTTATTTTTCAGTGTAAAATTAAGGACACTCATTACTCAATTAATAGAGAGGTGTGATGCCACTGGCATTTCTCATCTGGCTACATATGCAATCATTAAATTTATTTAAATTAAATTTAAGTTTTCAGCTTAATTAATCACAGAATCACAGAATCACAGAAACACTAGGTTGGAAAGGACCTTCAAGATCATCAAGTCCAACCATTAATCCAGCGCCACCATGTCAATGGTTCTAAGTTCTTAGTCCTTAATCTAAGTTCTTAGTCCTTAATGTCTTTAAGTGTAAAGCACCATATAAATAATAGTACTTTCCACATTTTTACTAACATACAGGTAAAAATAAACTCTTATCTCTTTTAACCTACCTGAAGCTTTCTGCTGGTCTGATTGCTTTTTCTTCTTGACTGCTGCAGCCTGCCCATTCCTTGAACTGTGGTCAGTTCCTCCTCCAGCTCCTGTTGCCCTGAGACTATGGCTGGATCAGAGCAGCCAGGAAAGAACCAGTCATCCTCAATCAGTTTTGTGCCACAGGAAAGCAATTACATTTATATCAGACACTACTACACAAAGAGAGACCAGGGACAGGCTGAAGTCCCTATGAATGACTGACAGGAACAAGATTAAAGAAGCAATCCATTGCGTTCACCTTGTGATTTCCCTCCAACATTACTATGCAGAACATAAGAATAAAGCCTGCATATCTCACTAAGAAGCAGCAAATTGAAGTCTAAGTTTACTTCCTCATCAGCTCTAAATGAAGACTTTATGCAGGAGACTGGAAAGAGTGGAGGCGGGGAAGAGTGAGGTTTTGCTGATAACTAAAAAAAAAAAAGCCAATCAATTAAAATGCCAAATTAAATCTCATTTCAATTTATTAGGTTAAAATATACCTAATTTGTATGATAAAGGCATCAGCTGAAACAGCTGTGTTTTTTTATAATCTGAACAATCACATTCAGTTTTATGGAAATGACATGTGTCCCTTTCAACTTTAATTTTAATATGAGCTACAAAGCCAGATAATTCGAGGAAGTCACAAGCATGTGTTACACCGCAAACTGCCATCAAACCATCTTATAAATTATTAATATCATTCTTTTTAAGCAAATACAGAATCACTTGTAAATAAACACACTGGATAAATTCAGAATATGAAAGCTTAGGTATGCATCCTGTTCATTGTTAGAAATTATTTTTCATTTAAAGTACATTCCCATCTGTTTTGTGATACGACAAAACATGTTTGGGGTAACAGATAAAGAAATAGATGTTTCATGCAAAGCAGACAGAACAGCCAGTGAAGAGATATGAAAGTAAAGGTGGCTCCATACTTTAATTGAAAGTTAAGATTAATTAATTACAAATTTAGCTTTCAATTTAACTACATCAGTCCACAGTTGTCCTCACAGCATGCAAAATGCAGAGAACTGATGTTGATGCATCTGTGAGGTAAACACCAGAAACTATTAGGAGATTCAGCCCTACTGCAAATAATCAGCTTTCATCCAAGCTGTCCAAGGATTACTTATACCACAAACTTCATTAAAACATAATTCTGTAACACCTACTAGATTTAAGTTCTTCCTGTAATATTTCAAAATTACATATTTACAATCTTCTCAGAAAAGATTAGAGGAAAAAAGCTTAAAAAAAAATAAGGACTCTTTTAAAGTAGGACTGCTAAATTGGATTTTAGTTTAAACCAATTTAGTTTAACAAATTTACTTTTGGTTTTAACTACACCTTGGCTTCTGGCACTGTCACTTTATCAGCATTCATTTTACACACCTTTGTTTATTTTCAAGTGTAGAGTCTACAATTTTGTTGTTGTTTTTAAGTCATTATACATACTTCTTCAAAGCCATAAAAACGAATGACAAATTTTGATCACAAAAGCCTTTGATTACTTAAGCCTCTGTTTACAAGAACTGTCACTGAAGTCAGTCAAGCAATTCAAGGAGCAAGCATTATTCCAGGTAAGAACTTAACCCCTTCTTTGGAGAAACAAATAAAATAATTAAAAAAAGAAAATAATCAATTTCTTGGAATTGTCCTTCAGGAACCCAAAATATTTAGGCTCCTAAGTATTTGATAATGAAAAAGAGAATGAAATTACCATTGTCACATGAAAAATGAAAGTATAGAAGTCGGAGGTTTAGAATGATTTAGAGCACTTAGGCAAGTGTTAGAACACTTTCAGTTAAATCAAGCATTGTTTTAACAACAATCAGTAAGTAAATACATTTTCTAATGTTTTACAGCAGCTTAGGGAGCATTTCATTTGCAATTATGTCTGACATAAAAACTGAAGAACTTCCCAGAACACCTTTCCTCAGGTACACACTGCATTTAAATGATGTGTCTAAATTTTCTTGTGTCACTATTCAGACTAAATACCACAATCTTCAGCGGTTTGCAGAGGAAACAAGCCCCACTCTATAAATGTAATCAATACCGTCACTCTCTGCACTTTTGCAGTTCCCCAAACATTCAACCCAAAAGAGACAATTGCCATATATGGCAAAGTGTCATAGACTATGATGGAATGAGTAGTGGGTTTATATATTGCTTACTGGTAGCTAATATTAATGCATGCAAAGTTCTGCAATTTATGGGATGGAATATAATTTAAAAAAAAAAAAATTACTGAATTTCAAGTACCGCTAAGAATATTTAAATTAATTTGATTCTTAGTCACAACCACTTGCAGCAAGCCAAGAAGTTTTCCTCTAAATAAGGTTACAACATAAATATGGAGTCAGCTGTTACCACAAAGAAAAATGAAGAAAGATGATTCAGTTAATGAAGAAACAGGTATTGCAAGGCAGAAAAAACCCAAGTTAAAACCAGCATTTGTTACATGTATTGCTAAAAACCACATACCGTCAATGGCAAATCTTATAAGGTACTGTGGGCAATTTCCTCAAAGGCAGCAACATCAGAAGAAATTAGCAACAGTACATTACAAACTGCCATTGCCGCAGGAACCTGCATGCACAAAACTGATGGGAAACTATGTTCTCACTGGCTGACCAAATCGCAGTGTAGGGTAGGAGTGGAGGGGGAAGGGACGCTGAGGGCTCATCAGGTGTAACGGCAAGAAAAAAGAAACAGAAAGGTCATGCTTATCCCAAGGGGAAAAAAATGCAAAATTAAACACGGACTGACACAGATGAAATTTTACAACTGCTATTAATATTGCATGTGGATCTGTAGTTACCACAGGTAACAGTTAGCTTTAATGAAGGGAGTATCATTCTCTTTCAGTTCCAAAGCATTACATGTGTAAATCCCTCAAAAAGAAGCGATGTGATCCTTAAAACATTTCTATGCTTACATACTGAGCTTCCAAATTGATCATGTAAATGAAAAATAATTCAATCGCAGATTAAAAAGACAAGGCTCAAATTAGCGAACTGGATTAACTATGATGGTAGATTGTGCACATTAAAATTTGCCATAAATCCCCACACAGTTAACTAACAGGACAAAAATTATAATAAAGTACTAGATGGCATTGAAAAATCTGAAATTTAACCAGACTATTACAAATTTTAATAGAAGCTACTTCACTTTCTCATCACCTGTTTTATTAATAATTTAGAAAACTACAAAACCTGAGATCACTTGACATGGTACTTTCTGTAGGTAATTAGTATTTTTAACTAGCTCCAAACCATTGCCAGTTAACATTACTCAGCTGACCTATACAAGCAACACTTAGTAACAGATTACTAAATATTCTAAGAAAGTTTTCTCCTCAACTATATTAAAGAGAAACTCTATCAGGTACATTTAACTAAAGCACCATCATCATTCATCAAATTCAACCCAACAACATAGTTCCCCACTCCTTTGCCCGCTGTTCTAGGCAGGCAGCTTTAATATTTCAGTGGTGAACTTTTTCTCATTGATCATTCATATGCAGAAAATAAGCTTTCAAAGTAAGCTCAAGCAGTCTTAGAGAGCAGCAACTCAGATGGCAAACAGAACAAGCACATCTACTCATAAAAATGATGCAAAAAAGATGAATGAATGAAAAAGATTCAAGGCAGTAGGAAAAAGTAGAAACTGCAAATTTAAGCAATTTCACTAGCTATACAAATCTTGTAAGTACAGAAATGAGTCATGTTGGTGTGCTACCAATTCAGTTTAAGTACAACAGACACACGCACACATATCTCTCTCTCCCTCCAATGTATAAGTAAGATAATTTTATCGTAAATAAAACAATTCACCTTCTCTCTCCTCCTCGATCTGAGCCATTCTCAAGGCCATAGCAGATTTCTCTTCTCTGACTTGATCACGGGACTCCTCTGACTCTGGTACATTTTCTTGCCATTCCAAGAGCTGACTCTGCAATTCATCCACACTACCCGATTCACTGGCCTAACAAGAGAAATTGCCCATGAAAACATATTTAACAAATCCTGCTGTACATGTAAACAACATTTTAAGTCAGCAAACCATTCACAGAATAAACAATCAAACAATTCACCACTTTGTATAAATAAAAATATATGAAAGTGGAGATAATTGCTATTGTAGATTATGCAAAAAGCAAGCCTCACCACTTTATAAAATACTGAAAATGCTACTGCCAGTTGCACTTCTAATTTGAAATATTTTTAAATGAAAAATGGCTTCTTTATCCAAAATATTTTTGTTGCACATTTTAATCATAGCAATGTTTCAAACTAAAACAATATTCAACTGTCATTATGTGGGCTAACACATTTCTATTAACTTTTTTTCCCGTGAACAGAATAAAAATGTTTCTGCCTTCCCATTTTAAGATTTTTACCAAAAAACCACAACTTCTCCACAAAATTTGGGAAAAAACAATTATCTTTTAGCAAAACATAATTAGTTCTTTCAAACTGGGTCTGCCGCTAGGACCACACAAAGTTACCGTGATTAATATATGCTGTACATCCATCTAAAGCCCTTTTGTAATATTTTCTGAATCTTCTCACTTTGTTATCCAGGCCTGTACATTTGTCAAGGTTACAGCTATTATTTTCTTCTGAAAGCTATTCGTATTGTATACAAAATAACAGCCACCAGACTCAGGTTAAATGTAACTAAATAAACAGTAAACTGCTTGGAAAAATATAATTTAAGGTATGTGGAAAAGTAAGTAGAAATCAATCTGTTTAAGTAATTCAAAACCTGTCAGCTCCAAAATCCAGCTAACACACTTTCAAAGTCTAATTAGCACTGTTTGAGTTAATCAGTAACTCATACAAATCAATTTTAAAGTTAACCTGTGAAGCTGCCCTCTTTGTAACTTGGTCAAGATCAGCTTGCAACTTCCTTTGCTGCTCTTCATACACTTCTAGCTTAGTCAGCAACTCTTCTATAAAAACATAATAAATTTGGCTTATTAGGACACAAAACTGTTAGGAAGTTCAATACAAATTTAAAAGAAAAAGATTCCAAATGAAAATACAGATGATAATTTATTTCAGTCAGAAGACCTCTGTAGGGCTGTGTTATCCATCCACCCATGGAACCGACTTCTTGTTTATTAAATATTGATGAGTGCTTTACATCTAACCTGCTAACAATTTAGACTGATTAAATAAAGATTCTACCATTTTCCATTTACAGAGAGGAAGTCAGAGAAAATAATGTAAGGTGAAACAGAAAAATCTCTCACAGAGCTCTACTTTAAACTATCTGAGGTTTTAAGCAAAAATTCTCTCTCAAATCCTTACAAGAGAAAAATACGTGAGATAATTCTTAATTTACATGAAACTCACTGCTCTCAAAAGTTTATTGTATATACTCTGATAGATTTTCCAAATAAGTTTGGTCTCATTTTTCCTCCTAAGAAGGTGCCTATTCCACTTCCTGGAGCAGTTCACACATACTCTGCCTAAGCCAAAATGCAACAAGTATTATGCACAGCTAGATTTAGCGAAGGAAAAACTAAGCTGTAACTTTCACTTAAATACTGCACGCTATTGTTCAAAATTGCATGAAGTTACTTCAGAATCTGTTTTTAAAAAAAAATACACTTTGAAAATTAAAATGAGAAAGTTCATTTATCTTTCTCTCTTTACTCTGAATCATCTGAAAAGGAAAACAGGTATTTTTTCCTACCGTTTTGAGTTCTGATTTCATGTAACGATTGCAGTTTTGACTGTAGTTCTTCATTTTCAATTTCTAATTCTGAGACACGATTGTTTAAGGCAGATACATCATTATTCTTTGATGAAAACTAAAAGAACAAAAAGTTATGAGTTTTTCAAATGCATCAAAACACCAGAAACACAGGGAAGTCAGTGCAACTTTTTTTTCCCTGATTTTTAATAAGATTTAGAATAACTGTTTTTCTAATATTTGGAAGTGCAATAAACGAGCTAATGTCTGACAAATTTACTCCTGAATGCTGGTAACACCAGTTTTTACTATTTTTGTTTAAAAGTCATCCTGTATCAACATTTTATGTCCATTCAATTTTGTTATTGAATATATATTTATTCATATATCGACACTTCAAATAAATTATTTTAATAATCTATTTACCCCATATTTTACTTTTTACAGTGATATCTCCAAGCACAGTAGCTTTAAAAACAGGCATGTAATATTAAACACAATGTTAAACATACATTTTTTAGTTCATCCTCCAGTTGCTTGATTCTCGATTTAGACCAAGCCTTCATTTTCAAAAACTTTGCTTCAGATTTGCTGGCCTCTTCTGTTTTCAATTTCACTTGTACTAAGAAACAAGACACAAAAAATTATTTAAAACCCTACCAAGATTAGTAATACAACACCTATATTTAATTCCTTTAGCAACTGGAAGTTATACGCTTACACAAGACAAACGAATTTAAAGAAAAACATAACACTAAGAACTGTAAAGAGAAATTTACAGTTCATGTGATTATCTTGGTATTCCTATAAACCTCATTATCACAGTATTTAATAATAGACACTTTTGAATTAGCATGGCAATAACTCCTCCCCCAAATTTAATGTAGTTCTACTTGCAACAGGTATGAAATCGGCACACAATATGTAACAGTACGGGGCAAAGGAACCCTTCAGATGTAACAACTGTTTACATAGGCTACCTTCTAAATCTTCCATCTTCTCTTTGGTTGTAGACTCCAGATCTCTAGCTTCTTCTGAATTAGTCTGTCCACTACCACTTAATTCTGCCACTTGTTTCTTAAGCTGAAACAGGGCCTGATCTTTCTCTTGCAGCTCAGTTTCATGTTTCTCTTGAATTTCCTGCAGTTCAGCATTATATTTCTCCTTAACTTTTGTCATTTCAAGCTCATGTTTCTCCATCATGTCTCTTAACTGGGCTCTCATTACATGTTTCTCAGCATCCAGTTTAGACTGGAGGTTTTCTTTTTCAGACAGAAGACGTTTCACGTTTTCATTAATCTCCTGTAAAAAAAAAAAAAAAAACCTTTACATTTTAATGCAAAGCATTTTTAGTACCACTGACAAATGCTGTATCTGTATTCTTACATACATTATAATCAGAAATCGGGACTACTGTTGGTAACTGTGCTCTATGACAAAAGCTACTTATCTCTGACTTTCCAAGACAGAAGTGGGGACTTCAGAAAAATAGCATCACTATTTGAGTGCAAGCTACATCCAACCTCTCCCACAGAAGAAAATGGAATAAAAAAGAATGTTTGGTTCTATGGAATATGAAAAGAAACTGAAGAAGATCTTTAACAGTGAACAAAAAGATTAAGAATGCTCACTACAATGCCTCCCAGGTGTTGTCACCTACATCTATTAAAATTAAAGTTGGCAAATTGATCTAGTTCTTCTTTACAATATTTTGTTGCTAACTAATTTTCTGATAGTGCTTTTAGTGCCTTTACATTAGTTATTTTAATACATAAGAGGTAGAAAAGATTACAGATCACTGTAGCAGAGCAGTCCACTCACACTAGACCTGCTGTTCAAAAAACTACTTTCATGATACCTAAACCTAGGAATATAAACCGTCCAAGTGAAGAAGCCGTGCAGAACAGCAGAAGGAACATTTCCAAATTATGGTTAAAACTGCTTATGTAAATAAAGCAAGGCTTCCTCCTATTTTAATACTAAAGCTGAGATTCCATTACAGTTCAAAGTGCTTTAAGTTCATGTTGTCATAGTCAAAGCTTCCCCCTACCCTCAAGGTGTACATTTCTGTCCCCTCAACACGCTAGCACTAGGTACCATCAGTTCTTGCAGCGCATCACTGTAGGAAGATGCATCTAACCCAAAATGAAAAACAAAAAACAAAACCCTGCATAAGGCAGGAGGCATAACAAATGGGAAGGACAAATTAAACAGGCTTAAACTACCATGGATCTTAACTACCTAAGCAGGACATCTACCTGGGTACATCGTTTCAATTATTTCTAGTAAGATTTTGATTCTGGCAGCCCTCTGGGTAAATTTGCAGATAATTTGTTGGAAATAGTATAGCTAAAATGCTGGGCCTGGCACTCCAGACAGGCTATAATGTGCCCGTTTCAGCAAAGAGTCCCAAAAGCCTATCCGAGGGACGGCAACGTCCTTTTTCTACACTGTTGAACTGAAGCAGCAGCACTCAAAGACTATAATCAGAGTTCATGCTAGCTGCCTAAAGACAAACAACCTTGATTAGGTATTGCTTTTGCAATCAGTAAAAATACAGCAAAAGGAAAGGCACACTACTAAAAAACACTCTCTTGGGGGGGGGGGGGGGGGGGAA